CCCTCCTGCGGCCCAGACACCCTCCCGGGGAGGGGCAGCCAGCAGAGGCCTGGCGTCTGGGAAGCGGGAGCCGGGGGAAGAGCCGCGCTGGCAAGTGTACGGCAGAGGAGACGGTGGGACCAGTGCCCTGAGCTCTGCACCGGGGAGGCCAGGAGGCAGCGTGGGCGCTGAGCGTGGGGCGGGCGGGTCATGTTTCCTGGCGGGATGCGCACGGGCACTGATTCTCTGTGAGGCCAGCAGGGCCATCGTTCAGAAGCAGGTGGTTCCATCGACCTGAGTCCCACACGTGACCACTCTCGGACCCTCTGCAGGGAATGGGGGTCCCGCTGTCACACCCGCTGCAGGGAATGGGGGTCCCGCTCTCGGACCCGCTGCAGGGAATGGGGGGCCCACTGTCACACCCGCTGCAGGGAATGGGGGTCCCGCTCTCGGACCCGCTGCAGGGAATGGGGGGCCCACTGTCACACCCGCTGCAGGGAATGGGGGTCCCGCTCTCGGACCCGCTGCAGGGAATGGGGGGCCCACTGTCACACCCGCTGCAGGGAATGGGGGTCCCGCTCTCGGACCCGCTGCAGGGAATGGGGGGCCCACTGTCACACCCGCTGCAGGGAATGGGGGTCCCGCTCTCGGACCCGCTGCAGGGAATGGGGGGCCCACTGTCACACCCGCTGCAGGGAATGGGGGTCCCGCTCTCGGACCCGCTGCAGGGAATGGGGGGCCCACTGTCACACCCGCTGCAGGGAATGGGGGTCCCGCTCTCGGACCCGCTGCAGGGAATGGGGGGCCCACTGTCACACCCGCTGCAGGGAATGGGGGTCCCGCTCTCGGACCCGCTGCAGGGAATGGGGGGCCCACTGTCACACCCGCTGCAGGGAATGGGGGTCCCGCTCTCGGACCCGCTGCAGGGAATGGGGGGCCCACTGTCACACCCGCTGCAGGGAATGGGGGTCCCGCTCTCGGACCCGCTGCAGGGAATGGGGGGCCCACTGTCACACCCGCTGCAGGGAATGGGGGTCCCGCTCTCGGACCCGCTGCAGGGAATGGGGGGCCCACTGTCACACCCGCTGCAGGGAATGGGGGTCCCGCTCTCGGACCCGCTGCAGGGAATGGGGGGCCCACTGTCACACCCGCTGCAGGGAATGGGGGTCCCGCTCTCGGACCCGCTGCAGGGAATGGGGGGCCCACTGTCACACCCGCTGCAGGGAATGGGGGTCCCGCTCTCGGACCCGCTGCAGGGAATGGGGGGCCCACTGTCACACCCGCTGCAGGGAATGGGGGTCCCGCTCTCGGACCCGCTGCAGGGAATGGGGGGCCCACTGTCACACCCGCTGCAGGGAATGGGGGTCCCGCTCTCGGACCCGCTGCAGGGAATGGGGGGCCCACTGTCACACCCGCTGCAGGGAATGGGGGTCCCGCTCTCGGACCCGCTGCAGGGAATGGGGGGCCCACTGTCACACCCGCTGCAGGGAATGGGGGTCCCGCTCTCGGACCCGCTGCAGGGAATGGGGGGCCCACTGTCACACCCGCTGCAGGGAATGGGGGTCCCGCTCTCGGACCCGCTGCAGGGAATGGGGGGCCCACTGTCACACCCGCTGCAGGGAATGGGGGTCCCGCTCTCGGACCCGCTGCAGGGAATGGGGGGCCCACTGTCACACCCGCTGCAGGGAATGGGGGTCCCGCTCTCGGACCCGCTGCAGGGAATGGGGGGCCCACTGTCACACCCGCTGCAGGGAATGGGGGTCCCGCTCTCGGACCCGCTGCAGGGAATGGGGGGCCCACTGTCACACCCGCTGCAGGGAATGGGGGTCCCGCTCTCGGACCCGCTGCAGGGAATGGGGGGCCCACTGTCACACCCGCTGCAGGGAATGGGGGTCCCGCTCTCGGACCCGCTGCAGGGAATGGGGGTCCCGCTGTCAGACCCGCTGCAGGGAATGGGGGTCCCGCTCTCGGACCCGCTGCAGGTGATGGGGGTGCAGGCAGCCCCTTAGCTGGACTCAGCACGGCCCCCCTATGTCTCCCCGTCTCGCCTTCTCCTAAGGAACATTTCCCCCCAGATTTCAAGTCCCACAATGAACGGTGTGTCCGTCTCCTGCGAGTCAGAAACGAAGCTGACGTTGCGAACTCCCTTCTGTGAAGTAGATGGAGAGGCTGGGAAATGAGAGGGCAGATCTGTGCTTTGCTGGGGCCGCTCTTTTCCCAGAGTCTGTGCGGACCCGGATGCAGCTCACGATGGGCCTGGAGTGTCACATGGGTGACACGCGTGTGGCCAGCGTGCGGCAGCTGTGTGCGCAGTCAGTGCTTGCTGTGAGGATGCTGTCCTAGGCTGTCACACCCACACGTGTTCGTGGATCGAAAGAACCCCCCCCCTCCCAGCCGGGCATCTGTGTGATGGGGAGACAGCAGGTCACGTCCCCGTGACCTCGGTCCCTGGAGGGAGACCCTCCGAGCCCGTGTCTTCCCCTGGAAATCACCTCCCCAGGTCGGCGGCCGGGCACCGAGATGCTCAGGGAAGCAGGTGGGGTGCACCCAGCCGGCGGCTATGACATCGAACGTCGCTGTCGTGAAGAACCCCGCTCCCGTCGGAGGCTTCCGCGCGGCCACAGCGCCCATCTCCCCGGAGGGTCGGGGAGGCTGACGGGCGGAGGCGAGAGAATCGGAGGTGAAGCGGAGCGGCGTTTGCGGCAGATGGGCTGTATGTTCATGGGGGCGGGGGGAGGACTTGGCGGGGAGGGCACGTGCCCCCCCCCTCCCCATGCAGGTCGTTATTCTGAAAATGTCTGCGAGCATCCCAGAACCAGAGGCCGTCTGCCTGTGTGATGGTGGCATGCACAGTGCGGGGCAAGAGGGTACTGACGCTCCTCCTCCCACCTCCTCACTCAGCCCTTCACAGGCGGCCGGCCGCACAGGAGCGAACCTCAAAATTGAGGACATGCGCTTGGGGCGTCCACACAGACAGGATAAACCCAAGAAAATTCCCAAGACAGGAGGCCACACGGTGTGAGACATTTGGGACAAAAGGAAGAGAGGAAGGGGGTGGGGTGGAGATCGCAGAGGTGAGAACGGGTGATTCACAGGCGGTTGAAGAAGCGGGGGAGGGGGGATAAGCAG